GTGACCTTTCTCCTCTGCAGACGTCTGTCTTCCACAGACCGAAGCGACCGTTCGGCTGTCACATCTGCAACAGGAAGTTCAGCCGTGCCAGCAGACTGTTCCTGCATCATTGCGATCAGCACCGCAGCATCGTAGACAGTTCCCAAGGCAACAGAGTTGGGATGGCCATGAGCAGTGCTCGAGCTTCTGATGGCAAATGGAAAGAAGGAACCCAGGGTAAGAACGAGAATGGGGAGGAGCCTCAGCGGCAGCGAAGAAGGAGAGTTGGCCCACCAATCAGATACCTACTTGAGTCAGAGGAGTTGTCACATGGTCTTAGAACAGCCCATCAGAGTGCAGCAACCAAACCCACACAAAGGAGAGGAAGAATGAAGGCTGGTGGTCTCACTAAGGCTGGGGGCGGGGCTTCACAGATGATTGATAGGTTTGAGGCTACCTTTGCCACAGACAGACAGACAGGTGTGCAGAGGCAGACTTACCTGGTTCACAGAGACTTGCAGGATTGTCAGGTGACCATCTCCCCCTGCTCTGTCACAATGCAGCGCCTCCTCTGATTGGCTGATGACGTTCTTGTTAAACATGTTTGTTTTAATTTTTTTCTATGAAGTCTGGTTTCAGTGATTTTAGGTGTGTGTGTGTGTGTCACACTGTTTTTGAACAATAAAATGAAATAATGTCCTGCTCCTTTTTTCTGTCCTGCTGTTCATGGTTTCTAATAATGAGGTCAAAGGTCAGGCTGCACCGCCCATGGAACTGCATGATGTCAGAGAGGGGATATCCTTATATGGTCGCGTCAGGCTCTGAGTAATCTAAATCAATGTGGGCCAAGACCCCCTGGTGGACGTCACAGGTACTGCAGGTGAGCCTGGAGCCATCACTGCGTAGTACAAATATCACAAATGCTACAATCAAACCGAAGTATTCGAGTGTATTTAGCAGTAGTTCCAGTCCTGACAGAGAAAGTCCTCCCTGCAGAGTCCTCCATCATCATCATCGTCACTGTGTGATGAGTTTAAATAAGAATCAGTTTTCAGATTATATAGTTTAAAGTGTCACCATGATGACCAATCCTCATCCTCGCACTCAGGACCACTGGAGGACACCAGACTGCCGGACAGGTGTGGTGCAGGTAAACTCGGCCTCACTGAGAAAAACACAAGAACAGAGCTGTTTATCATCTAACACAGCACATAACAGGCAAGGCACGATTGTCCAATCAGCAGCCTCCCTGGTAACACCTTTGTGTTGTGTGATTATAAACTAGACTGATGCTGCTGTTCAGGAGTCTCCTCCACTTTCACTGCTAGCTCGCCTCATCTGTTAGTGTCACTGACCTCTGACTGCCCGCCTCAGTAACGTGACCTCTGACCTCTCGTCTTCCTCACTAGTTCAGCCCCATTTGGCGCCTCAGTGATCACTCACATGCTGCCGTTAGCTTCACACAGGTGAAGCACACCTTCAGTTTGTGACGGGCAGCCAATTAGACGCTGGCTCAAAGGGGGAGGGGCTGCACATCTTGTTAAAGTCAGAGGGCTGCAGCTCGAGTCATTCTGCTGCGCAGTGTTATAAACATTACGGTAATGCTCCAGCTGCGGTCTTTGTGGGAGAAGGGTCTGGCTGCAGCCACTGGGAGCGCCATATTGGGACCTCCACAGTAGCCGTAAAACACGTGACCTCCACAGTAGCACTGCACGGATCATCGACTGTGGAAACCTTGCAAGTGGATCATAAAGGTTGGCACAGAGTCTTTCATGTATAAATTTGCTGTTAATAATTATATAATTTTAGAAATCATCTAGTTTGCTTACACTAATTACGTTGGCACTTTGTTAGCGTTACAACAACGGTCAGACCCCCGAGGTATCTAAACTTTAGTAAGACTGCACTTTTGACACCTCTGGTTAGCATTTAGTGGTCAGTTTCAAACGTATTTGATTTTTGCTTCTTATTGAACTACTTTTCACGATCTGTAACATCAATGCACATTGTTCCATTTACTGCGTATTGCACTTTGTTCACGTCTTTCATTCCACCTGCATCAACGCTGTAAAGTTTGTCACAAAGAGATTTCTACATTTATAAATACTGCTATTCTCTATTCCATTCTGTTCTGCTTTTTTATTGCCCAGATTTTTGTTAGCGTTTGTTAAATTGTCTGTTATATGTCAATAGATACGTATGTCACAAGTAAAAGTGTCTGGTAAATTATGTTTTTGTAAAGAATTTTCTCCCCAAATCTCTTACATGCTAACTGTAATGTGTTATTTCTGCTAAAACCTGAACTTAAAGGTGTATATGGTGTTTATCTGTTTCTCTCTGTTTTAGATGCACATATCACATTTGGAATTCTGCCTCCAAGCCAGAATTGCAGGAGTGCACCACGTGTTGGCTGTTTCACTGCCCTCTGTGCCCCACTCTCAGCCCTACTGTCAGGGCAAAGATTGAGGAGCAAATAAATGGACACATTAAAAATGCTTTGCCTTTCAAAGGTATGTTGGTGTTAAATATACCTCATAGTTAAAGTTATAAATATGCACTTCTTTTCAGCACCTCTGCAGTGTCTTTGTTGACTTAAAATATGCTTTTCACATTGTACAGTTCAGTGCATTCATCAGCTAGAAAAAAGTGTTTTCATTAAATATTTATTCCTGTTCACCACATTTCCTGACAGCTCTTGTGATCCACAACATTTTGCTTTCATTATTGAGGATGGCTTGGGTATTTTTGTTCATATGTACAATCTGATTGTTAGATAAACTGATTGCATTCTATACAACTGCATTTAAATTACATATTGTTGTTTTTCTTTTTTTTTTCTCTCTTACAGACAGAATGATATGCCGGCGCACTTTCACTGCCCTGTCTGCAACATGACAGTCATACAGCGTGGGGATATGGCAAGGCAATTATTGTCATGTCAGCATTCAGGACTGCTCCCCACTAAACTCTCCGTGGAGCCCCGCCTCCCTCCCGCTGCACTCTCCGTGGAGCCCCGCCCCTCTCCCGCTGCACTCTCCGTGGAGCCCCGCCCCTCTCCCGCTGCACTGTCCGTGGAGCCCCGCCCCTCTCCCACTCAACTCTCCGCGGAGCCCCATCTCCCTCTCGATGTCTCGTCTCCAGCATCTAAACCATTTCCTGAATCTTCAGTAGAACATTCATGTGCTCCTCCCTCTGTGCTAAATGAAACTGCGGCTTGTGGAAAGTCCATGAAAATGAAACGCCCTCACTCTGGTCTTACTCTTCTTACAAAAAAACTTCAAGACTCACATGATGAGGAGGCATTCAAACAGGTCAACAGATGTTTGCCTGGCCTGTCATTTGCAGTGTTTGTGTAGAGGGACTTCCTCCTCTTTGTTTCTCAGTTTGCAGAGGACATGGAGCTCTTTTTAAAAGCATGTGCTGACGAGCAGAGACTACAGGTCAATGTGATGTTTGACACTTGATGGACAGATGAAGGCACTGGCTGTTTGTTTGTGGTTTTTATGTGCTGTTTGTTTTTCAGTGTACAGAATTCCAGTTAAGCTTATTATAAAATGTTGTTCACTTGTTTCCATACTTATAGTAAAAATTTAAGTGTAAATGTAACAGCATTGTTTATACTTGTAACTTCAAAGTAAAAAGGTTACAGTTGCTATTAACATTTATGTATTATCCTGTAATCAATAATATTTTTATACATTTTACGTATAACCCTCTGGGCTCTGTGCTGACTACTACACTGCAGTGGACCAAAAGAATGACACAGGTTTGATCTTAAGGGTCTAATAGTTGTGTGTTGTGCATGACATTGCAATGCAAACATGTATTTGCAAGACAGACTGGAATAAATTATGACGCATCAAATATTACACAGGCTGCAGGGAATTTTTGTTGATACAGACTGTTGAGCTTTGAGTTTCCCAGTCAAACTTAGCTTTGAAGCACCTGCTAAAAACACTTTTACTCTTGTAGAGTAAAATATGGTTATAGTAAAAAAAATCAAAGCTGCAGCACATACAGCAACAAAAACTGTTAGTAAATGTGTCCTGGAATTTATGCAGGTGCAGAAAATGCTGCTGCTGTAAGTCAGCCTAACAGCTTGTAGATCACTTATTTTTCTGGAAAGATGGTAAGAAGGGCATCACTGCTCATCTCTACAATCTCCCAGATCTTGGAATACAAGCCTTTGTCCCATGAAAATCACTTCACAGTAGTAGGAGACCTCTAAACCTACAAATGAAGAGTGATCCTGGAAGAAAAAGGGCCCACACTATAGTGACCTCAACAATTGCAAGACAGCTTTGTCCCCGATGCTTATATGAAAAAAAACCCACGAAGATTTATGAAACCATTAGGACTTTATTACTGTTTTATCTGAAAAGTTACTGGTAATATATGACCTAACTGGCATTTAAAGTGTAAAAAAAAAGAATATAGATAAAATTTTGGTTTTTTGATGAAAAGGACTGGAGCTAATTTAAAGAGTCAAGTCGGTAAAAGTAGATCAATGTTTTAATAAATATACATTTTACAGCATTTTGTAAAAACAAAACAAAACACAAAAGTTGCCATTTTTGGCAATGAACAAGGTGAGAGAGTTTTATAGTTTTTGCTCTCCTTGAACAAAAATAATAGTGCACAATAATGTTGATGTTAATCAATTAAATGTCCCAGACTCCACTATTAATAATATAGTGGTCCCTCGTTTATCGCAGGAGTTACGTTCTAAAAATAACCCGCGGTAGGTGAAATCCGCGAAGTTATATTTACAAAAACTGTGGTATTTTGTAAATATAATAAACGCGAATTCAGCTGTGTAATTGTGTAATTTTATTAGCAGTGTCCTCCTGAAATGCGCCAACAACATTGAGAGTAACATCCTCCTGTCTACCCCTTAATGCTCTCTGGGCGCTATGGTAACGCGTAAATAATCCTTTCAAAATAAGACACAACTACAACACGGGAAGACACCCAGGGAAACCGAGGAAAACGCTGAAAACCATACATTTCACACCCGAGGCTCAACTCTCGCGTTGACAAAACATAACCCATGGACACTTTTGGCCACAAACGAGCTGAAGGGATGGTGATTTTTTAAATAAACCCAGAGTGTTAAAACACTTAGAACCAAATTTATTTTTCAGCAGCATCAATAGTAACAAAAACACAATTTAGTTTTCCCTGTCAAAGTCGATTTAACTGAAGTTACGTGTTTCCGGCTACTGTGGAGATCACGTGTTTCCGGTTGCTGTGGCGGTCGCAATATGGCGGAAACCGGAAGTCAGTTCAAAACAGCCGTGGCGGGTCCCGAAGGAGAAGGAGCTCTGCTGGGATGAGCGAGAGCGGCGCTCAGGTGAGAAACCGAAGCCCGTGTGTCACGTGACCGCGCTGTTAGCGAGATGAGAGCGCTGTTAGCACCGCGTGACGGTAACTGTCAGAGGGTGTGTGTCTGCTTACAAGCGATGTAGGAAGAAAACAGACAGTTACCTGTTCGAGTTTGGTACAGGTGTGTTGCTGTGACCTTCACTGAGCAGAGCTCTGCACAGCTGGAGATGCTGCCGGAAACTCAAAACACGTGTTTAGTTTGTAGTGTGGTACAGTCTACGTGCTGCAGCAGTGTGTAATGATCTGTACAGTGTATATCCTGGAGCAGTGTGTCATATGGCAGAGTGTATATCCTGGAGCAGTGTGTCATATGGCAGAGTGTATATCCTGGAGCAGTGTGTCATATGGCAGAGTGTATATCCTGGAGCAGTGTGT